ACTTAATTTGTGTGTTGTAAATTCGTCATGTTAGTTCATAGACTTTTGACAAATTTTAAGACCAAGATGGTCAAGTTTTCAGTAAAAGTTGTTTAAACAACAATTATAATTAATCATCACAGAATCAAAGTTGATTTCAATTTTGATTAAGTAAATAGAATTACACTATATATTTGTTATATGCATTGTATATCATAAGCTACTGACCAAAACGGTGCGTTGCAACGGCAATGCAAAGAAAGAGCACATAAAACGACATCGTATTATGTGTTTGACTAAAACGGTGCGTTGGGAGTTGGAGACTCGGCATGGATCATGGCGGGAAAAACCTAGCAGATATGGCGGGAAAGGCCCAACTATACGCTGCCTCTTCTTCTTCACATCCCTTTTGTTCGCGTTTGAAGCGGACTCAGTTTTTCGTCTCTATCCTTTTCCGATTCGCTTTCGAAATCAAAGGTTTTATTTTTGAGATCTGAGAGATATGGGAGGACCAGAGTACGATTGTCTGATTAACCCTTTGGGAGCTGTTCGAATCTCCTTCGAAAAGGCTTTATCTTCCGGCTACAATCCGGCTTCGTCGGTCGGAAAAGACTGGGGAGTCGTCGATTTGTTCCGTCACTATTTATCCGACGAATCTGCAATCTCTCAGGTTCTGGGTTTACGAATTCTCTGCTTTTTGGGTTCTGGGTTTAGGGCAAATTGAGTATCAATTCATGGTGTGTTAGTACCCAATTTGTGTTTATCAGTTTTTAGCATAGAAAGGTAGAAACTTTCATGTAATTTGGTTGTGCTTTTTTACTAAATCAGCTTCTTTGATGTTTTTGGTAATTTAGGTTTCAAAGGATCTGTTTTTTCAGTTTTTGTTTTCCTTAATTAACCAATTGTTTTTGTCTACCTTAGATTCCAATTCTTGATTCTTCAACTATCAAGTGGGTTCAGCCAAAGACTCTTGTTCGGTTTCGTGGAATGATACAGGACATGCTTGGAAATGAATTCTATGCTGGTTCTTACAAGGTACATATATACACTTTCACTTAGATTTTGATGGTTTCCGATAGAAGAAGTGTTGAATTATTAACTGTTTTTGGTTTTGGTCTGTTTAAGGATGGTTCAACATGGAGAACCAATAAGTACAGTGATGTCTCACAGTTTCCTGAGAGTTCTTCTTCTGAAATGCAAGTTTGGGAGCGTCGTTTACTATACTGTGTTCCGGTATGTTTTCTCTAGATGCTCATCTTTAGTTTTCTTGTTGTTGGTGTTGAGCTCTCGTGGATGTGTTTAAAATGTAACACTTTTGTTTGACGCGTAGGTCCCTGGACAAAACCAATGGACTGAATGTTCTTCCGAAGAGCTGAAGAACCGGTTTTTGAATCTAACTGGCCAAAACAGGGAAAAGCGTGTGAGAGTTGATGAAGAAATGACTGATTCCATGGAGTCAAATGTAACAAAGTTTCTCATCTTTGCTTTATATGATAACGACACGATTTTGTCGTAGCCTTATCTATTGGAGTTGTTGGTTAGTAACTTATTTAAGCCACCATTTGCAGACTTTAGAAGCTGGACTTAATGGCTCTCCTTTCAAGAAAATGGTAAGGATTTAGTCTCTTACTGTTACTGGCACTGAGATTTTGGCGGATGAAATATTTCTGATGATTTCGGCTTTTATGTATATATCAGAAATCAGGGGAAGGTACCTCATCAGCTTCAGGATCTCAGGTTCCCGGGACTAATGGTGCTCCACAATGTTCTGGTATCCTTCCTGCTACAAGTAAAGATTCTCTATCTTGTCTTGTGAAGGTAAATATATGGTTTTAAACATTATATTATCCTTTAGCATGTATATACGTAATCTGCGTAGAATAGTTTGTTGACAAAATCCATATTCGGCCGCGTAGATTTATGATTCTCCAGAGTCAGAATTGAAGCTAAATGATGTGGTTGAATTCCTTGGAGTGTTGACTTTCGATACAAATGTAATGGATATGGATTCACTTGATGAAAACTCTGAGGATCTTTCTGAAGCTGAATCTGTTCAGATGCCTCCGGGAAAGGTTCCACGTCTCCATTGTATTATCCACAGGAAGCTTGAAACTCAACATTTCCTGCATGGTTCATCCTTGTTAACAGAGGCAAGTACCAACAGTAAGAAAAGGATATTGCTTTGATGGTTATCGTTGATCCTCTCATTGTCTCTAATCACTTGTTTTACTTGCTGATCTGGCAGCCGAAATCCCCTCAAGTATTCAAAGAGATAAGAGAGAGTTTAATGAAGTACCTTACCAGTCTACTTGGGAATGATCACATTGCAGCACAGATCCTATTATTGCATCTCCTGTCGAAGGTAATTTGTTAAAAATTTAATCAGTTGTTCAATAATATATTCTCAGCTATTTCTGCTAATCCCTTGTTTTCTTCCTTCACAGGTGAATGGAAGAGTAGATAATGTTGCTGTCGGGAAGCTTTCACTTAATCTCATACATCTTAACAAAGAAAGCATGTCCATCTTTGGAAATCAGCTCAGCAATGCCCTTAAAAGTCTCCTACCGTTTACACAATCGATACCACTAACTATTGAGTATCTGAACACTGCCTCCCTCGGTCCCAATAAAGATTATCGAATCAACCGGTAAAAATCAATCTCTACGATCTTAACAAGGCTTTTTGAATTATTCTTCTCTCAAGAGACCTTCAATGATTTGTGTTTGTGACCTAGATTGGTGCCTGGAGTTCTACAAATTGCTGATGGTACGCACTTGATATTGGACGAAACAGAGTTGCAACCAGGCACCTTGAACTCCATTGGAGTCGGGAATGCAACGCTGCTTAAAAACCTCTTGGAATGTCAGAAGGTAAAAAAAGCGATCTTGTTATTATTCACTCTAATCAGATTCATATATGAATGACGGAATCTGCTGCTATTTTTCAGGTGGAGTATGATTTCCAGTATTATAAAATGGAAATGGCCACTGATGTTCAAATGCTCATCTTCTCCGAGGGCAAATCGAACATAATGCCCGCCGATCTGGTCCTACCTTTTCAACCTTCCCAATTGAATTCATTGGAAATCATCACACCAGAAACAGCAGAAGCTTGGAGGTACTACTTAGCTACGTGCAAATCATTATCTCACTCCATTGGGCAAGAGTTGCAACAGGTATATAAATATATCTATTGCAATAGTGTTAGAATCTTGTGCTTCTAAACAAACTCCATTGTTATCAGACTTTTGAGTCTAAAATTCTGCAAAATTTACGTTTGCAGGTAGTGGAGAATGATTTGGTTGAAGCAAGGCAAACGGATCGTAGTTTAGGTAGCCAAGACTTGAGCAGGTACCTAAAGCCTTCCTTAGGGTTTATTGTCATCAAATATGATGAGCAAATTTTGACTGTGTA